CACACACACACACACACACACATATGGACGTCACCCCTCGCCCTCACTGCGTGACACAGAAGAGAGCCAGGAACAGGGCGCCCAGGGCCAAGATGCGAACCAGAACCGAGAACTGGCTGGCGGCCGAGCGCTCCCCCTTCAGGGCGGCCTCCACCATGGGGGCATGCTCCTTGAGCAGGGGGATGGCCTTCTGCAGGGCCTGCTTGGTGGCATGGACCGGGACGTCGGCCGAGGCGGGGATGATCTTGGCAGCCAGGATGGCCAGCTGCTGGGCGAAGATGCGCTCAACCGAGGCCATGTCCACCGAGTCGATGATCATGCGCACGGCCAGGCCCTTGCGGATCTTGACATTCTGCTCGAACACCTGGCCATTGTCGTAGCACAGGGCCAGCGTGGCGATGGCCATGACCTGGGGGATGGCACAGAACTGGAAGATGCTGCGGTTGGACAGGAGGCTCAGGTAGTGGAAGACATCCGGCACATGCTTGAGGGCGTCGGTGATCAGGTGGTTGAGGCACTGGCGGGCCGGGTTCCGGGCCTGGGTGGCGCGGAAGTCCCCGATGGACTCGGCGTACAGGGACCACACCTCGCGCGGCCAGAACACCCGGTTGACGTCGACATCCTCGCGATAGTCGCGGATGATGTTGACCTTCTGCAGGAAGAGCCCCATGCTGTTGGAGAGCCGGGTGTCGCCATTGAGCTCCAGGGCCGTCTCCAGGCCGGACTGCACGAAGAGCTGGGTCAGGCCGATGCCCACCAGGCCGGCCACATAGTGGCAATACTCCTCCCACTCGGCCACGGAGTTGACGTCCTGCATGGACCGGTTGCAGAACTTGGCCATGCCGGCGCCCATGTCGCGCGTGATGTCCGAGATGACATTGCGGTAGTGCATTTCCAGGCTCCGGTAGAAGGCGATGACATTGTCGAAGCGGACCAACAGGTGGCGGTCCTTCTCGTCCGGGCCATTCTCGGTGAAGGTCCAGCCCTCCTTCTCGATGAGGTTGTAGAAGTCCCGCAGGAGGGGGATCTTCCGGTCCACCGACAGGGTGGGATCGTCCTCGATGGTGTCCAGGCCGCGCAGGACCAGGTAGAAGACGCACACCGCGTCGCGCAGGCTGCCCTCCAGCTGCTGGATGACCGAGGAGAAGGAGCGCGAGGTGAGCTCCAGCATGTCGTAGCAGATGTGCTCATGGGGGCGGAGGTCCTGGAGTGGGGGTGGGGGGGACGAGGGCAG